TAGGCAGGCAAGTGAAACAAATGCAACACATTGTTACATAATTAAACACACATTCTTACATCATTAAACAAATGTGGCCTACACAAATGTAACAATTGTGTAATAAATATTACAGTTAAAGTAATATTTTGCAGCACAAACAAATGTAAATATTCCCTTCTGTTCTCTGTGGACACCAGATACACCAAGTGGTACACAGCTATACACGAAGATAAAATACCCATACACATAATAAATTCTTGAAGAAAAAAAAACTGGCATCAAAGACCATTACAGAAAATCATAATCAACCAAAATTCAGAGCTGTGGAATCCAATTTCAGTGGCTACATCTACAAAATACTTCAGCACCTAAGGCTCAAGGAATATTTCAAAAAGGGGGATGGAAAGATTCTAAGAGCCAGAGGGTCGGGGTTGCTGTGAGATTGTATTTCCTAGAAATGCTGTCTTGTACTTTCTTTTCTTTCTTTCTTTTTTGGTTATTATTATTATTATTATTATTATTATTATTATTATTATTATTATTATTTTCAAGACAGGGTTTCTCTGTGTAACAGTTCTGACTGTCCTGGAACTAGCTCTTGTAGACCATGTTAGCCTCAAACTCACAGAGATCTGCCTGCCTCTGCCTTTCTAGTGCTGGGATTAAAGGTGTGCGCCACCACTGCCCGGTTTGTACTTTCTTTTCTTGCTTCTTCCTTTGGGCTGAAGTCTGCATATACATGCAATCTATTAAAACAAAGGGGGAAAAGGGAAAATCACTTCTCATGAGTGATTTCTAGGCTGTGTCTCAGTGTTTTCTAACAGATTTCTTAGTGTTTTAGATTCATCTAAGATCTATGGAATCTAAGTTTACGTTTTAAAAAATGATTCATGTTCATATTCAATTAAATGTTTTTTTCATGTATTTGTGTATGTGTACATTATTTTAGTTCTTGTGCCACATGCAGTCAGAGATCACCTTTGTGGGTGTCAGTTCTCTCCTTCCATCAGTGGGTTCCAGAGCTCAAACTCAGAGCCTTAGTACCTTTGCCCACTGTGCTGTCCGATCGGCCCCATTCATATTCAGTTAGTATTATAGGTGGCACCAACCTTTCCTTCATTCTTCCCTGACTCTTCCACAACCCTCTACTTCAAACAGCTGAATTTTGAGGCCTCTTTGTCACAGAAACATGTATTTACTTGATATAATCTGCATCTCTATTGATCTTCAACTATGTTTTGCATCCACTTAGAAAATATTTGCTGAACATCTTTTAAAGCAAAGCACTGTCCTAGACATTATGTATTTCCTAAAGTATTTAAGGCAGACCTTTTTCTCCAAGAATTACGAAGCAGAGAAAAAATATTGGAGTAAAATTAAAGATATTATAAGAAAAGACAGTAGATGTTATTTTTAACTTACATGCTTGTTTTTGGAAGGATCTTCCAGATGAAACAATGCTCCTGCAAACATGTCCACATATAAATCCCTGAGCTTGTGAATACTACCTTCAAATAGTGATTTACTTGTGTGTTTAAAGACTTTGAGAAGATTGGCCTGAATTATTCAGGTGAAGCCATTGTAATTATTGGGAGCTTATAGAGGGAGGCAGCAGTCAAAGTCAGAAAAAGCTGGCAAAGAAAGCATGGTAACAACAGAGATGGAGTTAGCAGCCAATGAACATGGACAGCTTGCAACATCTAGACAAGGACTAAATTTCTTCATTGGTACTTCCAGAAGGGAACTGATCCTGTCAACACCTTACGGTTAAAGCTCCCCGGGTTCCTGACTACAGCACTGGTAGGATAATCCATCTATGTGGCTTTAATCCACCAAGTTTGTGGCCATTGGTTACAGCAGCTATGGGAAACCACTAAGGGGCTTTTCCACTTGGGGAAGTCCATGCCGCATGCCTCAATGCATTTGGAGGGGAGGCTGAGCCAGACAGTTCTTTCTTCATCCCTGGTCAGCTATGGTTTTTGTTGCTTCCAGCAAAGGGCTCCATTTAGAGAGTCTTGGAGTTAACGAATGCATATGGTGATACTTTGAGTTATCCTAGGCCTTAAAGACAGGATCTGTGTTTGATTCATTTTGTACCCTACTTTGAGTGCTTTAGACACTAGCGGGAAAAAGGAGAGAATGGCTCTCTGGCTGTAATACTACTTGATAGGAGTAGCTTTCTATCATATCATATATGTTCATACGAAAGAGTAAGCAACAAGGGGGGGTTAAAGACGGACAAAGTTCATGTTGATGAGACGAAGAAAGCATCCTAAACAATGGTACATTTTATAAAGTCCCCTTAACAAATGTGATTGTAAGGTCATCCTCTCTTGTCATTAATAAGATTTATGCAAACCGTGATATTGGGGCTGGAGAGATGGTTCAGCGGCTAAGACATTGGCTACTCTTCCAAAGGACCGGATTTCAATTTCCAGCACCCACGTGACATCTCATGACTGTCAGTAACTCAAATTCCAGTGGATCCGATTCCCTCACACAGACATACACGTAGGCCAAATACCAAAACACATAAAAATTATATATATCCCTGATATTTGATCATATTCCACTGGCCTTGTTTATCCATAAACCTGCAGGTGGCGCATGCCTTTAATCCCAGGGAGAGGCAGGCGGATCTGTGAGTTTGAGGCCAGCCTGGTCTACACAGTGAGTGCCAGGACAGGCTCCAAAGCAACACAGAGAAACCTTGTCTCGAAGTTCACCTTCTCAAAAACAAACAAACCAGAAATGTGATGAGTTAGTAAAAGGCAACAGACAGTACAGAAATAGATCTAGCTATACGTGGGAATACCAGGTTTCCACCCGCGGCAGGACAAGGGCCTCGAGGCCTGGAGGTGACAGGTGGTAGATCCGCATTGTGCTTCCGGACTGCGTTTCACCAGGCCCCCTCCCCCTTCTTGGCCTCGATCTCCACTTTCACTCCTTTGCTAGTCTCTGTCCTTCCAGCGTCCACCTTTGCTCCTTCCGATACACCTCCAGGCTTCTCCTCTCACCCTCTGCCTGCTCACTTTCCTCTACTCACCACAAGGTTCCTCCCACCCCTCTATGGCCTATCCCCCTTTGCTTTCTACCCCCGGCCCCCC